CTATGATGAGTCGTTGAAAGCGGAAAAAGGGAGGATAAGTCCGTTTCGCACAACGGCATATGGACTACATTCATTCAATCACGTCCCGGTAATAGTGTTATGGGGTTTTATTAGGAGCTAAAACATAAAGGATGGTAGTCACCTCTATTTTGGAGTTTGATCCACAACGGCATCAATGTCCCTTTCACCTCAGAGCTATCAACACAAATGTTTTGAATGTAATGCCATCTAGTGTGAGAAACAGAAGGCACTCACCCGGTTATGATGTTATTTAGCGGGTTTCCAATGCACAAAAGTTGATGGCACAGTTCGTCCAGACAACTCGAACTGAGTCTGATAGCAGAAGCATGTACCCCTTCCATACGTTCCAAACAAGAGCCATGCCTGCTACATACAAGACTGGTTCGCTTTTCTCACTTTGCTACGCGTGAGTCGGTTGCGACCAAAGTTTTTAGTAAACATCCAAAAACCATGCATGGATCATTCGGGACACTATGCGAGCAGTCCGCAACCATGAGAACAGTAAACTCGACTACGGCATACGAAGGGACACGTCATCAATGTGTGTCGGATTGCTTTTGCAGTGATTCTGTACGTGAAAGGATGATCTGAGAGAACTCTAGTTGGAATTGCCCGAACCTACCTGGACTTAGACGTGACAGTGATGACAACATCATCGGATCTGCCTTGAAAGCCACGGAGAAACTGCCAATCGCCTTCCTGAAATGCGACGAAATATTAGTATGTATCACGTAATGCACAAGTCTGTTCACTAATCCATTTTATGATAGCGACAGAAACCGTCAGCAATGTTCTGTCGACGAGTGGACGGGACAAGACTCATCTGGGCGTTTCAAACCTCGATTATGGCCACCGACCTGCAACGGATGATCACCTGGACGATGGCGCCACTCTGAAGGGAAGTCGCTGAGACGTGACGGGGTATCACACCAGACACGTTTGCTATCACATGAACAGTTTGGCTTGGCATGTGCCTTGGCATCACCGCAAAAAGACAGCTCACCTCAGCAAGATGCAACTTCAACGTGCCGAAGTTTTCACTCGGTTCGTAGGAGACGTTCGTGTAAGTCGCGCCGGTAGGAGAGACCAAGCGAACAGACTTGACGGTGCTGATGGCCGATGCATCATCGAACGCCAGTTTGAAGACGACATCTCTCCCCGTTGTTGGATCGATGGAGAACATACTGGAAAATGTTGTGACGGAAAATCCGGAAAAATATTGCTGAAACAGCTGCCAAGCGCAGAGAACAGAACGTTAACTCCCTTATACACGAGGTTTGATAGCTACTATGTACAAAATAAAACGTGAAACTTAAGAATATAGTAATATGACTAGACTTTTGTTTGAACCCCGTGCCCCTGGAACTGAATGAGACGGTTTTACAATATGTCCTTATATGTTATTATTCATGCGAAAAATACAGGGACTTGACCTTGCTTGCAGCTTTAAAAACCGCTCACCACAAAAACAGGTCAAAAACAGTTATCCACTTGCTGCTGATGTGCCCAATCCAGAATGTTTTTGTTTGGTTTGGAACAATGCCAAGCGAGCAAGATCTCGAATACTGCGCACCACAATGTTCTTCTCAGTCTCCACTGTGATGTCCGGTTGGTAGGTCAGACAGCCCTGGAACGCCTGGTCGAGCTGCAGTGAGGCCTTCGTTTCGCTGATGAAGTACGTCCTCCCACCACTAATGTCGGCGAACTTCTCCAATCGGGAATCGGCCGACGTTCTGCGCAGGAGAACGGTAACGCGGTTAATTGATAGTCATACCGCCCCGAACACTGAGATCTAGCTATCTAGCAATGACTGACCTCTGCGATTATGTACACATAAACACTAAAACCTCTGGTAAGAAGGCCATATTCAACAGCAATAAATATCTCCAGAAGCATTTATTAAAACTCCAGATATCTACGCTTATAAATGCTCCACGATCCTCGAAAGTCTCTAGAACGAAAAGAGCACTAGAATATATCCAGACCTGGGGAAGAGCTCTCTCACCACATGCTATCCGTTTCATGGAAACCTAGACTAGGCCTGACCTCCGTAATGTCATTCTACACTTCCTTTGAAAACGCCTTCAGCGCCTCACCAGCCGGAAGTTGCAGTAGACAGCTCGCGAGGCAATCTCTACTTTGTGATTGGCTTAGCCAACCATCGTACGACGTGGTACCCGCTTCTCATTGGTTAATATCACATCATTTCCAGGACCTGTAACCATGGCTCGTTTCCCATGCGCGTTGTATATAAGGCGCATCGTTAGTGGCCATGTAGGTCCATACCCTCTCTAGGCTTGCAAAAAGCAAGATCGCTGTTGGTTGTGCCGGTGGTAAATGTGGTGTGGGTGTTGGTGTGTGCGAGGGACTAGAAAATAGGGGTGATAGTTTGACAAGATCTTTAACTGGATCACGAGACACACTTGCACGAGCGAGATCTACACTAGTATAAATAGTACGCCAGCACGAATACATCTAGATATCGATAACCAAAATGGTCTTTTCAACTTAAAAATGTCATTGATAAGATCGGACTGATTCGATCCTCCGGTGGAAATGTATGCACGAACCATAGAACCCAATGTCAGATGGATATTGGTACCAAAATAGTCTGCTTTTCAAGGCGAGACCGATCACTGACAAAATAAAACTCATTCGGACCTCTGGTCGAGGTGAGTAACTGGACCACTGTTGGGCCAGGGTACGCTTTCCATAAGTGTTTTTTTTATCCAGGATTGTGGGGAAGGGGAGGGCAGGGCAGCTCAGAGGCGCTATGTGACGTTTCTTTTCATGGATCCCTACAAGACCCGTATTAAATGTTCCTCAACATGTTGGGGGATAAATATTCCCAAAACGTTTACTTTTTCTAAGTGTAGACAGCACGGTCGGTGCAACATCGGAAGCGACAACTGCGCAAATATGACTGTCCACCAGGTTGCCAGGCTCCACCGAGGTATGCACGACAATATGCCTAAAATGAGGTGCTGAACAGTGCCATATAGATCTATGTCCATGCATATACGATGTAGTCGTCTGTGTTTTTTCGTGCCTGACTTATGTGTCTTCTCATACACATGCTCAAATTGTGAATCATCATTGAGAGAACCTTCAGATCAGCAGCCCTTTTCATCTGGTCGTAATAAAATTTAAAATTAATTGGTGACATAGTAATATGCACGTTCAATAAATGATTTCATAATAAAACGTAAAAGTACCACAACTTAACATATAAGTACCACAATATTTAAACAAATCCTGCTGTTTTTTTGCCATCACTCTCTCATTGAATCCATAGGTGTCACGCCAATCACCTGGCCCTGAGCTGCCAAGGATCGCGATGGCGCCACGCCTTGACAATTCACACCCATGCCCGATGGTGAGGCTACGTACCCGAAGGCCATTGTGATGACGCGAACGTCGGCCGCCACCACGGGGTCGTACAGGTCGGTCAGGTCCCACATGGCCTTTGTGTCCGGGTTGTAGCAGGGGGGATTCTCCCCGCCGTCCGTCATGAGGACCATCACTCCACCAGTCCCTACCGCTTTCTTCAGAGTCTGCAACCCAGCGGTACCATATTGAGACGTTTCTGAACGTGGATGGTCGACACTGGACGATTTTCAGAAGCTGGTGTCTGCACGGAGAGCGGTGACGGCGAACGATGGAGTGAAGGACGTCATTGGTGAATACATCGGTGAATATAGGAAATCAGTCAGTTGTTCAGACTCACTGGCTGGTAAGGGTATGTTGATGATCAAGGGCAAAGAAAAGCCCTTTGTGGGAAATCGTTTTTCAAGTACAGAGCATGTCCACTGAGAATGGATTGCGTGATGGCATTTTACGGTGCCGGATCTGTGAGCCTTTTTCGTAGATAGCATTGCACCATTATATGGCACTGAGACCATTACATTATTAAGGGCATAAGCAGCTTTGCTATGGCTATGTATGACTGTACATTTAGCCAAGCCAAAAACTGGATCACTTACGACAAACGCCCGGCCGCACAGGCTGGGCGCATGGTCGGTCACAAATGTTAATCCTGCAGTCCGGACTGGTCAAATAAAGTTTGTTCACAGTTCAAGTAAGACAAACTCGGCATTGTTCAGGAAGGGCCTCTGCGTCATGTGAACACTGGCCAGATCCAAAGACCCGAGCACCATAACATCCGAGCGATCCTAGTTATGGCCACCACAGTTTTAGTACCTGTAGAGCGCATACGTTTTCATCTGTTTTGCCATAACGTATTGGAATTCTAGGTCACTTTGGGTCTTTACTCGCTCCAGCACCCCTATGAAACTGTTGATCTCAGTCTAACAGAAAATGAAATTAGTTTTGTTGTACCTCAGTTTATTTCTGTCAAATGGTTTCATTTCCCCCCTCCTCCCACCCCATTAGAAATCGGCGCACAGCATTTAGATGAAAAATTGAATGCAAAGTTTGAGCGCGTAAACAAAATCGGCAGCCTGCGTTAGCATACGAGGTCAGCACACTCAGTCAAATGATCTTACCTTAAGTCCCAAATATACACCGTTGCAGATGCACGTGCCACCACCTGCTGATGAAGGAACATGTCTGGCAATTTCTTCTCTTGATGTCTTATCCACAATCTGCTTGAATTCTGTTTGAAGAACTGCGGTGTCTGTAAACGTCACGATGGACACCCAAGTGCCGTTCTGGAGTTCGTACTTGATCCATTTGGTGGCAGCAGAGTGAAGCTTCTGTATTTTAGACGTCTGGAGCGCAGAAGAGCAGCGACGGCATCAGTGGGGCAGAACCATGAACATTTCCTTCAAAGTTCATGGTTTAAGATTTCAGGGTTTTGTAGTTAAATCGTTCATGTTTAAAAAATACAAAGCATAAACTACAATTAACGTGCTCCTGGGGCGCTCATGACAAATCAGAATGCTCCTGCTGATGGCCAGCGCGCTTCAAACAACTGTACAAATTTAAACCATTCGACATCTTTTTTCCCATAAATACGTTTGCAGTCCAAAGTCACGTCACATGCAGGCGATAGCGACAGTGGGGGCCCATGTTATCTTTTGCAAGTATGGAGACAGACGTTTGATTTTTCTTTCCTTCCCTCCAATCAGTATGCTATAACAGATCAACTGTCCTGACGACGTGTCAATCAAGGTCAGTCCTGGGTCAGCATTGTAGTCGGGGTCAGTATTGCAAGGTCACCGGGGTCACCATCGCAGACATTTTAGTCGGCGTTGATAAATGTCAAGACAAGGCGTTAAACCCAAGTGATTGGTGTCGTCTTTTTGGCATCATTAATTGAGGAAGTCGCACACATCTTTTGACTGTGGACTGTTGGGCGGGTTATCGTTGATCATGCCAAGGCAGGCACATCACACATTGAGAGCAACGGACGCTGACATTTTTTGAATGGGAAGTAACAACAGAAAATGACACTCTGACGCCACTTGACCATTACTCTGACTTTAATAAAAAGCGCCTCTGTTGATGTGCAAAACACGTCTCCGATTTGGCATTTGATTAATAATTACGTCGTCACTGCAAAGACGGTACAATGGCAGTTGGGATGAAATTTATTAAAACGCTGCACTGTTTTATTGGTGACTTTTACCACTGTTGGAATGCTACGGGCGTTAACAGCGCATCGTCATCATATGCTTGCTATTCTTTGGAAAATTTCGATAGAAATCGCACCGACTTAACTTGAAAATAGATCCCTGGTGCCGAAAGTGTAATGGGGCCGATAGTGTAGTGGGAAACCAGAGGTACGGGGTTCAGTTCTACTGTATGGATCGGAGAGTGAACAACTGGGATCGCCGTCCACTTGCTTGTCTCGACGACGCTGCAGACACATCCCCCATGCTGCCGGATGTGTCGAGCACCATGATGAACCTGGCCTGTGCCGGTCGCACCACCTCGAACGTCGGCACAAGCTGGTTCGGCTCCAAGCTGGCCGGCGGGTTCCTGCGATCGGAGACGACGCGTTTTACCACGGCGGTCGACAAAGGGGGAGAGGGGAGGGGGTGGCACTCGGTAACCACAGCGCCCGTCACTGGGGAACGCGCGTCGGCGCTGGGGCACTAGGGTTAGCGTAAAGGTAAGCAAGCGTGACGTCACGGCGTGTAATACTAGCGGTGTTCCTATGTGCAAACGTCTGACATAAACAGCTGCGTGCCATCCCAAAATCTATATCCTTTTGCGTGCTAATGGTGTGACAACAGTCGTCTGCAGCCTCATTGCAGTCCATGAGTCAAACTGCGGCAGCGACACTTATACGGAACGTGCCTCGAAGTCAGGGCGTATGACTGAATAGAAGCCCACGCACACGTGCACCCAGCAGAGAAGGAAAGTGAGTAGATTAATCAGGCGGATCCAACCATTTGATCCAATGCACAGGATTAGATGTGGATCGGATTACCGACATTTCCTTAAATATGTGCGGATTTTGATCGAACCGGAGTTCCATTAATGTATGGTTTTTAATCACCAGAGATGAAGTTACCCGGTCAGAAATCATACTGCTAGGTGGTGTCGACTAGTCCTGATTTATATGCCAGGTTATCGCCCTAAATTCTGCTAGAACAGCAGCTTTTGTAATCCAATTTTGACCTGCAGGTTTGCATTACACCAAACAAATGATCTATGTTCTGGTTTCATTATACTTAGGCTTATTTGGGCGTACTTGATTCGGATTGAACCTAGTAAAGCACTGGAAGAAGTTCCTAACTTGGAATGAATCAGTATCGTGCCTGGCCGGATAAGGACTGGATCAGATCGAACGACATTTACCCGGTTTGTTCTTTGGCTCACCTGCCTCCCTTGAAGTCGGCGTTTTCTCTCATCACCTCCCACACCGATCTCTGGCTGCAGCGGAAGTTCTGCTTGTTGGGCGCATCCGGACGGTGCCGCTTATCATCGCTGTTGTTGCAGAAATGGTTCACCTGGTACACAGGACCGCCGTCAGATCGGTACAATAACGATAAGAATCGCTAGCACATTCTCTGAGGTAAGATCACTGACCACATCAACAACAGCCAATCAAACACACAGCGATGCGGTACCCAAGGGGCATATTATAATGCATAATGGTAACAGTACACAACACAGTGATGTGAAGCATCCAACCATGTGTGCGTGCTGTGTTACTGCGTTGTAAGGGTGTGACCTTCCGATATCGGCCTTCCTCAGACCACAGCCATGTTTAGTTACGCCACACTTTGCGTCCGGCGTCGTTAGGCGAACAGTCATATGTGGTTGGCCAACGGGCAGTTCGAGTAGAAGACATCACATTAATACGCGTTCCAACAACAAGGCCAGGCAACACAGCAACAAGCACCAACGGTCGCACTGAACAGCATTATCTCCCACAACAACACACACACACATAACACACACAACACACCACACACACACACAAACACACACACACACACATATATACATATATATATATATTAACCATATATATATATATATATATATTATATATATATATAATTCAACATAAGAACCCTCGTAGTTTTATCGCACTACAGCTATGAAGGCTAGATCAATGGTACAACTTTGCCAGTGGGTCCAGTAAAAAATCCAGTGTGACGCCTTCTAATTAGTCCCATCACTCGGAAATGTCCTGGGTACCAAGACCAACCAGTACCAGGTGCTTCTTTATCTATTTATGTCGTGATTAATTATATATGCCCCACCGTGATTGCAATCTTTTCTCAATGTAAAGATATGCCACAATACGCACAGCTTAACGTTTTGGAGAAGGAAAAAATGTCCGCAGGCAGCGAATATCGCACTCTGCAAAGAGGAGCGCTGTGCGGATTCCTTATAGTGCTGGGCTCCAGGTCACCATGGGCTTTTGTGCCGCAAGAGCTGATGGAACAGTGGTGACTTCCGACAGATCCGCACTGACGTCTGCACTCCCGTCAAACACGGCCACACCGTGCTTCTACCCCTCAGGTCCGACAGTTGGGCCGCCCTGTGCTGCTGTACCGAGTCCAGGTAGGTGAACGCCATCAAGGACGAGATGGCGTCGTTGTCGCCATACGGGTAGAAGACGCAGTTGTTGTCCGGCAGCCCAGTGGTCTTGCTGTACGTGCATGGCTGCTGAGTCTTCTGGTCCCTGACAGGCGAAAACACGCGAACATTACGCTTCGCATCTTGCAGTCATCTGCTAACCGCACCAACACTTTCATTATTGATAGGTTCTACTTTGGTGGGCGTAGAAGCTAGAAATATATATATATATATATATATATATATATATATATATATAGAGAGAGAGAGAGAGAAGAGAGATACACACATTTATATATACCAATGCATATATACATATATATGTACACACACACACACAAACACACACACACACACATATATATATATATATATATATATATATATATATATATATATATATATATATATATGACTTCATATAAATGCCTTCGTCCACACCGCACTGCCATGTAGCCTCGGACGTCCCTGAGTGACGTGCGTGCTATCCAGATGCGACACTAATCCCTCGTCGGCTCAGAGGATCTGATATCGACGAGGTCGTACACGATACGGGCGTGCGGTGACCAGAAGTCTCAAAGTCCTAGCACAGGGGTCTTCAAACGTGTCAAGACAGCGCCACGTTACCGCGCGCACAGCATGCAGCATAACTCCTGCGCCTACGCGCCCACCACAGCACGACCACAGTTCCAGGGAACGAGATTTTAGACACCATATCTGCACGATCAGGTTCCTACTTATCAGACCTATCTCTTGGTAACCTGTGCTTGGCGACACGTTCTGTTACTTCATTACTGCAAAGGGTTGTTGGGTGTGGGGTAATGATAGTTGCTGTTCCATTACCCATTATCCGACTGCCCCATTACCCTCCCGCCCCCCCCTAGAAGTAGCCTTGCCTTGCACTAAAATGTAACGTAAACTTCATAGGCAGAGCTCACAACATGCAGTATGATTCACTGAAGTCATTGCCCACAGTCTCTTCAGGCCTCCATCTCCTCGGCTTTCTCAGCAATTCGAGGCCCAAACCTCCCTTTGCGTACGAAAAGAAATCAACGTGCATCGAGTTCTCACACTCACATTTTGTATCCGCGTAGGTCTGTGTTGGAGCAGGTATTGGGAACCACTTTGCTCTCTCCATTAGCCTCGCGTGTGTAGTAGAACATCGGGTATGTGTCGTCACCAGGGTAGCCATACTCTTCAAAGACGCCGTACCTCAGATGAGCCCATTCGTGGGTCAGCACCTTGCCTGCAACGTGCCATGGATTGTTGTTGCAGCTGCAACACACCATGGATTGTTGTTTTGGTCGCTGCACTTCGTTCCGGTCATCTCTGTGCGCAAAGCATGAATAAGGCCTTGAGAATGATATCCTACACCACCGGGGGAATAGAGCACATGGATCCTAGGATTTTGGTACTGAACATCACGTCCGTGGATATTGTTGGGAAGACGATACTGCTGCTGATCGTGATGATTTCATAGAACACCTTTGAAATACGTTTCGTACGTTCCTTCCCATGGGTGTACCATGAAAGGAAACGCAAATAAGTCCCGAGTGTCTTCTCTCCAACCTTTTTCCGTTGGCAAACCCCATACCGGCGACTACTTTTATTTGGCAACCACATACCACCACAAACATTGAGTTTGATGCATGCGAGTAGGACTGATGCAGATGTTAAGTAAAGCGCGCAGCAACGGATTAAATGTTACCTAACTAGACACCACGACGCGTGTAATCCGCGCCGGCATGCCTACATCATGTACATCAGCCACTGGCTGACGTCTGCCTCCACGTCAGAGACGGCCACCCTGTGCTTCTATCATACCGTGCAACACATGCATGCCAGGCAATGATATGAGTCGGTAACAGCAAGCGGAATTACCACCTAACGGGGCATCAGCTGAGCTTCCCCCCATATTATAATGTAGAAAGCCCTGATGTTCCGCGCAACTGGT